GGATTGCAGATGGCGGAAGTGTCGGAGGATGATGCGTTGGATCCGGATGTTGGTGGGGTGGTACGTGAGGACGAGAAGGATTCTGTTTTGGTTGTTATTGCGGGGAGGGGGTGTGAGGGATGAGTTGCGGGAAATGCGGGAGACATGGTCGAGGGCGTTCTCGACCACTAAGGGGGGGAAGTTGCGGTCCTTGAAAAACGAGGACAACTGAGATGTACGGGAGTGGAATGTCTCATCATGGGAGCAGATGCAGCGGAGGCAAAGGAATTGAGAATAGGGGATGGCATTTTTGCAGGAAGGTGGGTGGGAGGAGGTGTATTCTAGGTAGCTGTGGGAGTCGGCGGGCTTGAAATGGGTATCAGTTTCTAGGTGATTGCCAGAGATGGAAACAGAGAGGTCCAGGAAGGAGAGAGAGGTCTGATGAAGGGTCTAGGCCTGAAACATCAGCCTTTCTGCTCCTATGATGCTGCTTGGCCTGCTGTGTTCATCCAGCTCTACACCTTGTTGTCAGAGGAATTAGAGATGATCCAGATGAACTTAAGGTTGGGGTGGAAGGTGTTGGTGAAGTGGATGAACTGTTCGAGCTCCTTGTGGGAGCACGAGGCAGCGCCGATACAGTCATCAATGTAACGGAGGAAGGGGTGGGGTTTAGGGCCGGTGTAGGTACGGAAGAGGGATTGTTCCACGTAACCTACAAAGAGGCAGGCGTAGCTTGGGCCCATGTGGGTACCCATGGCTACCCCCTTTGTCTGTAGGAAGTGGGAGGAATTGAAAGAGAAGTTGTTGAGGGTGAGGACGAGTTCAGCTAAGCGGATGAGGGTGTCAGTGGAGGGGGACTGGTCAGGCCTGCGGGACAAGAAGAAGCGGAGGGCCTTTAGGCCATCTGTATGGGGAATGCAGGTGTATAGGGACTGGACGTCCATGGTAAAGATGAGGTGTTGGGGACCGGGGAATTGGAAGTTTTGGAGGAGGTGGAGGGCGTAGGTGGGGAGTTCCTGGACCAAGGGGGAGAAAATGGAGTCGAGAGAGGTGGAGATAAGTTCGGTGGGGCAGGAGCAGGCGGAGACAATGGGTCGACCAGGGCAGTCAGGTTTGTGGATTTTGGGAAGGAGATAGAAGCGGGCAGTGCGGGGTTGGGGAACGATGAGGTTGGAGGCCGTGGGTGGGAGGTCACCTGAGGTGATGAGGTTGTGGATGGTTTGCGAGATGATGGTTTGGTGCTCAGGGGTGGGGTCATGATCAAGGGGGCGGTAGGAGGAGGTGTCGGAGAGTTGGCGCCTGGCCTCGGCGATGTAGAGGTCAGTGCGCCATACTACAACTGCGCCTCCCTTGTCCGTGGGTTTTATGGTGAGGTTGGGATTGGAGCGGAGGGAGCGGAGGGCTGCACGTTCTGCGGGGGAGAGGTTGGAGTGGGTGAGAGGGGTGGAGAGGTTGAGGCGATTGATGTCTCGACGGCAGTTGGAGATAAAGAGGTCGAGGGAGGGTAGGAGGTCTTGGGGTGGTGTCCAGGAGGAGGGGGTGTGTTGGAAGCGGGAGAAGGGGTCAGTAGAGGGAGGGTTAGGTTCACGGTTAAAGAAGTAAGCGCGGTGGCGGAGGCGGCAGAAAAACTTAAGTGCTTAAGCGCTCTTCCGTAGCTACAGTGGCCCTAAACCCACCTCTTCCTCTGTTACATTGATGATTGTATCGGCGCCGCCTCATGCTCCCACGAGGAGCTCGAACAGTTCATCCACTTCACCAACACCTTCCATCCCAACCTTAAGTTCACCTGGACCATCTCTAACACCTCTCTCCCCTTCCCGGACCTCTCTGTCTCCATATCGGGCAACCACCTCGAAACCGATATCCATTTCAAGCCCACCGACTCCCACAGCTACCTAGAATACACCTCCTCCCACCCACCTTCCTGCAAAATTGCCATCCCCTATTCCCAATTCCTTTGCCTCCGCCGCATCTGCTCCCAGGATGAGGCATTCCACTCCCGTACATCTCAGTTGTCCTCGTTTTTCAAGGACCGCAACTTCCCCCCCTCAGTGGTCGAGAACGCCCTCCACCGTGTCTCCCACATTTCCCGCAACTCATCCCTCACACCCCCTCCCCGCAATAACAACCAAAACAGAATCCCCCTCGTCCTCACGTACCACCCCACCAACCTCCGGATCCAACGCATCATCCTCCAAAACTTCCACCATCTGCAATCCGACCCCACCACCAAAGACATTTTTCCCTCCCCACCCTTATCTGCTTTCCGGAGGGACCACTCTCTCCGTGACTCCCTTGTCCGCACCACACTCCCCTCCAGCCCCACCACACCCGGCACTTTTCCCTGCAACCGCAGGAAGTGCTACACCTGTCCCCATACCTCCTCCCTCACCCCCATCCCAGGCCCCAAGAAGACTTTCCACATCAAGCAGATGTTCACCTGCACATCTGCCAATGTGGTATACTGCATCCGCTGTACCCGGTGTGGCTTCCTCTACATCGGGGAAACCAAGCGGAGGCTTGGGGACCGCTTTGCAGAACACCTACGCTCGGTTCGCCATAAACAACTACACCTCCCAGTCACGAACCATTTCAACTCCCGCTCCCATTCCGCAGACAACATGTCCATCCTGGGCCTCCTGCAGTGCCACAACGATGCCACCCGAAGGTTGCAGGAACAGCAACTCATATTCCGCTTGGGAACTCTGCAGCCCAATGGTATCAATGTGGATTTCACAAGCTTCAAAATCTCCCTTCCCCCTACCGCATCCGAAAACCAGCCCAGCTCATCCCCGCCTCCCTAACCTGTCCTTCCTACCACCTATCCCCTCCTCCCACCTCAAGCCCCACCCCCATCTCCTACCTACTAACCTCATCCCGCCCCCTTGACCTGTCCGTCCTCCCTGGACTGACCTATCCCCTCCCCAACTCCCCACCTACACTCACCTTTACTGGCTCCATCCCCGCCTCTTTGACCTGTCTGTCTCCTCTCCACCTATCTTCTCCTCTATCCATCTTCTATCCGCCTCTCCCTCTCTCCCTATTTATTTCAGAACCCCCTTCCCCTCCCCCATTTCTGAAGAAGGGTCTAGGCCTGAAACGTCAATCTTCCTGCTCCACACAAAAAATCTAGTTTTGATGGGAGTCCAATTTCCAACACGTTCCATGGTGGATCTCAAGGCAAAATTCAGAGCTGTGTTCCTGCTCTTTGCTCCCTGGTTTTTCCATGCAGCCGAATCCAGAGCATCTTGCCTCAAGTCAGTAAAAAGCTTAAGTTGAGACAGAGATGTATGGGCTGGACACTGTGGTGTTGTCAGTCTCCATACTCCCACTGTCAACATACAGCAGAAGCTGGTGGTCCCATTACTGGTGCGTTTCTCAGGAAATTGCTCTGAGTGAGACCAGCGAGTGTCAGACAGTTCAAGGGAAAGCAAGGTGCAGGCCAATCACGGGTGCACCCGTTTTTGATTCCTGGCCTCATCCTCATACATTCGGAGAGCAGTAACTGGTCAGAGACCAGCTGGCATCACACAGAGGCTGGCCAGTGGGTGAAGAGGCCCTGGTGGTGAAGAGGCCTTCATGTTGAACAAACGTTTGTGGGCCAGGGAGGGATGGCGAGAGATTTGGGCCTACCTTTAGCTGACAGGAACACCATGGCGACCATCTTGTTCAGGCCTGAGGTAAAATCTCAATGGACACCCAGGTTTCATACAAATCTGGTCTGTATCGCCAATTTTAGATTTTAGATTTAAACTTTATTGTCACATGTACTCAAGGACAAAAGTACAGGAGTACAATGAAAACTTTTCAATGTCAGCACACACGGGCACCATCTTAGGTACAAGTACCTAGGTACAAGAACTAGGGACAGTCCTTGAGTAGTTAAAATGGCAGCCTGGGGGCCTCCAGAAAGAAGGACTTGTTTCTGCCATGCAGGATGGTTTAAAATTGCACTCCAGTCAAGGATTTTCTTATTTCTGTGCTGTCACCAATCGAGAGAATCCTTTGCATTGTCAAGAACTAAGGTCAGATATTTTATGTTGCAGCTTTCAATGAAGTGGGTGGCTATGACGCCATGGCGGAGAAATATATGAACGCCATCACTAGCCAGACCACTGATCCCAATCTGAACATCAGTGCAGCCTGTTACACACCCCGTCCAGACGCGTTCCACTTGTTCCGAGATCCCATCACCGGCGATATTCCTTGGCCAGGCCTGATCTTCGGCCTGTCCATCCTGGCGATCTGGTATTGGTGTACTGATCAGGTAAGAGGTAGTCGTACCAAACGCTGACCATGTGTCTCATTCCTTCCGCCTTTGTTTTCTTTATTTCTGCTGTTTCTCTTTTCGCTCCGGCTTTGTAATCAAGTCCGTGAACAAGATGGCGCCGGTTACATCGGTGGAGGCAAGATGGCACCAAAGTGTGGCGACTCTTGTTCCAGTGGCAGAAGCACAGTGAAGGGGATTCATGCCTGGCCACTAGGCCCAAGGCCCATGACAAAGCACTTAACATGAAGGACTGTAAAGTTGGACACTTTTTCTTTATTTCTTCATTTTTCTGCCTTAATTCTGTTTTTGTTTTTTTTATGGTTTTAGATGGCCCCAGAGAGTGGCGACACTATACAACAGTTTTCATTCTATTTTCTAACAGGATACATGTGACAATAAATAAACCATTCAATCAAGTAAAAATCAGACAAGCTGCATGGCTCTGTTTGATTTTAGCCATGACCGAGTCAATGTATTGGACTCTTTAGAAAAGGCTTCTCTGTAGCTGGACCCTGTGTTTAAATATTTCAAAAAAATAGTATTAGTGTGAGTGGGGGTTATTGTTCTTTTATCATGCTTACTCAAGGACAAAAGTACAGGAGTACAGTGAAACTTTTCAATGTCGCTACACATGGGGCGCCATCTTAGGTACAAGTACCTAGGTACAAAAACTTAAGAACAAGCTGGGAAGAAATAAGGGAAAAAGTTAAAAGTTAAACCTTACAGTCATTGAGTAGTTAAAATGCTTTTAGAGTTTAATATTTAATTCAGTGCGATTTTGGTAAGTTGATTGAGAGGCCAACTGACATTGGGAGCTGGAAAACATTGACTTTGTTTTGGAATGCTGTGGGTTTATTTTAAATGTTGTTGATTGTTTAAGAGTGTTGTGGACTATCTGAAATAACCACAGCTGTCAGAAGGTGAGCAGAGTTTTCAGAGCAGGTTGTTGGACTGGGATTGGCCTGAAGCCCCCTCATTCAGGTCGAAGCCCTTACTGAAATGATTTCTTCCTTCAACTTTTGTAGATTTTGTTTTTTTTCATGGAATGTGAGCGTCACTAGCAAGGCTAGCATTTATTGGCTATCCCTAATTGCCCTCCCAATGAGAGTTCACTGGGTCATTTCAGAGGACACTTGAAGGTCATCACTGTGATCTGGAGTCAGATGTCAGGTAAGGATAGCAGATTTCCTTCCCGAAAGTGAAGGAATTAGTGAACTAGATGAGCTTTCGCAACAATCAATGATCACCATCCCAGAAACTAGTTTTCAATTGCAGACATGTTAATCGAATTTAAATTCCACTATTTTGTCCATTCGGATTTGAACTAAGGACCCCATCACACTATTGTTACAGGACAGCAACAGGCAGTGAAAAGCCTCAAGGGAGAGCTGTTTCATTGCTCTAAAGTGAACACAATGTTGTAAATCAGTGAGAGCCATGCAGAATGTGTGGAGGTAGGCACACCTCTGAATGTCCTCTTCTTTTCGTTTTCATACTCAGATTGGTGGATTTTCATTAATCAAAGGTGATATTGGACTTGGGGAAACTGCTGGACTTGGGCTAAGTCTTTAAAGGGCAGAAGAAACTCAGGGAAAGGAACCTAAGGGGCAACGTTTTCATGCAGAGGGTGGTGCATGTATAGAATGAGCTGCCAGAGGAAGTGGTGGAGGCTGGTACAATTTGAAAGGCATCTGGATGGGTATAATAGTGGGAAGGGTTTAGAGGAATATGGGCCAAATGCTGGCAAATGGGACTAGATTAATTTAGGATATCTGGTCGGCATAGACGAGTTGGACTGAAGGGTCTGTTTCTGTGCTGTACAGCTCTGTGACCAACTGCTTTGGAACATCTCCATGTATTATATGTCCTGCATTCCCCTGAAACATCAGCACTTCATGTTTTGGTGTGTCACTCTGTTCAAAGAGCTGGAGCCCTCAATAAGCATCCAAGAAGACCTCAGCTTGACAGGCCAACTTCTAACCTGGAGAATATCCAAAGCAGAATGTAAACCCTGACTTTCCCCTTGGGTTCCCCCTGTCCTTCAGAATCTAAGGAGAGGCTGTCACCAGACTAGCATTGAAGACCAATAATATGGGGACATGGGTTCAATTCCCAGCAATGACAGATGTTGACATTTGAATTCAATATAAATCTTGAACCAACAGCTGGCCTGATAGTGATACTTTATCATTAGGAAACTCCTCCAGTCCACAAAGGGAAGGAAATCTGCTATCCTTACCCAGTCTGACTCCAGACCCACGGTAATATGGTGACTCTGGGCAATAAATGCTGGCCTGTCCAGTGACACTTTTTGTAACAAACACAAGAAAAAAAAATCTTTACTGTCCAACAGAATGGTTGAAAAATGAGTGATGGCTAGTTTTGGTTGGTGGGAGCAGATGCTGACTCCAAAACCCTAGTCAATCATTCTATCTCTGCAGTCAACCCAACGGCTCAATGAGAGCCCATTATTGAGGGTACAGTTGGTGTACGAATGGTCCAAAAACAAACCAATCATGATCCCCAAAAATGAGGCTTCTTACAAGATTTAACACCAAAATCTCTGTTCCAGCAGTAACATGCTCCTATCTGTTACATCTCAGGTCATCGTTCAACGTTGTCTCTCTGCGAAGAACATGAGTCACGTCAAGGCTGGCTGTATCCTTTGTGGCTACCTCAAGCTGTTGCCAATGTACCTCATGGTCTTCCCAGGAATGATCAGCCGGATTCTGTATACAGGTAAGGGATTATCATGGAATTCTTCAAGGAGGCTCTATCAGATAATGTCAAGCTTCCCACCTAACTTCCAGCTCTTTTTCACAAGAACAAAGAGCAGGATTAGACCGGTGACACTGCCCTACCACTCAAATTGAAGGAAATTAGCATTAGCAAAGAAAAGTAGTGCTGGAGAAATTACTGGGACTGAAAGCTGATAAATCCCAAGGTCCTAATAATCTACATCCCAGGGCACGAAAGGAGGTTCCCTATGGAAATTGTGGATGTGTTAGTTTTCATCTTTTAAATATCTATGGATTCTAGCATAGTCCCAGCAGATTGGAGGAAATGGTAAATAGAACTCTGTAATTCCTTTGTTTTCTTTTTTTTAAACAGAAGAGCGCTTATTCTAAAAGCAGTAGTCGGCAAAATGCTGGAGTATATTATTGGGGATGTGATAACAGGATGCATAGGAAGTACCAATGATTTTACACAAAGTCAAACATGAATTTATGAAAGGGAAATTGTGTTTTACAAACCCACTGGAGTTTTTTTTGAGGGTATCACTAGCAGAATAGATGAGGGAGAACCAGTGGGAGTGGTGTACTTGGATTTTCAGAAACCTTTTGCTAAAGTCCCACAACGCAGACTGTGCATTGTTGTGGTGTGGGATGGACAGTGGTTTTGTGGCGAGACTTTTTTTTAAATTCACACATGGACACCCCTGGCAGGCCACCATTTATTGCCCGTCCCTAGTTGCCCTTGAGAAGGTGGTGGTGAGCTGCCTTCTTGAACCACTGCAGTCCATGTGCTGTAGGTTGACCCACAATGCCCTTAGGGAGTGAGCTCCAGGATTTTGACCCAGCGACAGTGAAAGAACTGAGATATATTCCCAAGTCAGGATGGTGAGTGACTTGGACAGGAACTTGGAGGTGGTGGTGTTCCTGAGCAATCATGAGAATGGCAGAGCACGAACTTTAGTGGGAGGTGGGTGCAGAGATAGTGAATGAGGGTGGCACAATGATCTTGGACCAAGTTGCCAGGATCTGGTGCCATGATCTCCACTGCTGGTCCTCTGGGAAGAGGTCTTCTCTCCATTGCACTAGCCCTTCAACCAGTTCTGCTAAGCCCCAGGTAGGAGAATTACGGCACCACGATGCCCTTCTCCAAAATGTTCAGGTTCCATCCTTGACTGAGCAGGGCAGTTTCAGAATGCCAGTGCCCATCCAAGATGGTGTGGGTGTAACAGACGGGGTCTTTCAGTGGATATTGCTGAGCTGTTCTGGGAACAGCACGCACTAAGGTGAGATAGGAATAGGATATGAGGGATACCTCGGAGATGAGGTAGGTCATTAATGAAGTGCGTTTGGTGAGATATGGTGGCAAAACTTGCTCGTCCTTGTGGAGACAATCTCTCCAAAAAACTCATTGCAACTCGAACTTAGCCAGAAAAAGATAAGACTCGGCCCAGTTTTTCAATAGGATCATAGCTGATGATGGGCTGTGATATAAATTTCTTATCCACTCTTCAGATCCTATCTATCCCAGTTTTCAAGAGATTCAATGTGGAGTATCCACATCTCTTTGGGTTAAGAACAAAGATTTACAACCCCTGAGTGAAATCATTTCTCCTCATCTCAGTCCTAATTTTATTTTTTTCTGCCATAGCTCGGTGCGGCACTGTCAATGTTGAGGGAAAGGCTTGAGATGCTCTATGCCAACTCTGGTTGGATGGATCCAGAACATTCAGTCACGCCCTCCAATTGCCCTGGTGATTGGTCACCTGACATAGCTATCATTGTATTGTACCCTCGTCATTGTAGTCTGCTCTCCGGCCATGCGGAAAAGCAATAGATTATCGCTTTACGATCACAGCTGATCCTTGAGTATCGGCCCGTACAGTGCTGGCAGAGGGCAGCACTGTCAGAGGTGCTGCCTTTCACTGTAGTACTGCCCCCTGTCTCTGCTGGATATTACAGAACCCTTGGTACAGTTCGAAGACCAGGAGATATTCTCCCCCTCATCCTGTCCAACATCTCAACTCAACGACACCAAAAACAAATCATCCACTCTTCATCAGATGGCTGTTTGCAGGATCTTGCTGTGCACACATTGCGTTTGCAATAACAATTCCAAAGAAGCATACCATTAATGGGCTGTAATGTCTTGGGTTTCTGACAGGTCCTGTCAATGTGCCAGATGTTTGTCTTGATCACAGTGCTAAAAGCTAATTGATATTCTCATGATCTCAATTTGTTCCAGATATCATAGCTTGCGTTGTGCCCAGTCTTTGCAAAAAGTATTGTGATGCAGAGGTTGGATGCACCAACATTGCCTACCCCAGGTTGGTAGTGAAGCTGATGCCAATGGGTGAGTCCCAGTCTGTAAAGACCCAATGTAAAACTAACATGGAAAAGATACGCGTGTGGGATTTGCTAACTGGGTCTAACACTGGCTTGGGTGGATCAACATAAGAAACTAGGGGTGGCATGGTGGCTCAGTGGTTAGCACTGCTGCCTCACAGCACCAGGGACCTGGGTTTGATTCCACCCTTGGGCCACTGTCTGTGTGGAGTTTGCACATTCTCCCCGTGTCTGCGTGGGTTTCCTCCGGGTGCTCCAGTTTCCTCCCACAGTCCAAAGATGTGCAGGCTAAGTGGATTGGCCATGCTAAATTGCCCATAGTGTTCAGGGATGTGTAGATTAGGTGGGTTATAGGGGGATGGGTCTGTGTGGGATGCTCTGAGGGTGGACTTGTTGGGCCGAAGGGCCTGTTTCCACACTGTGGGGATTCTATGATTAAATAGGAGAGGAGCAGGAGTAGGCCATTCGGCCTATCAAGCCTACCCTGACAGTTAATAAGATCATGGCTTGTGTGTACAGTCACCTCTACTCCGATGGTGAGGGCAAGGCCTCCCTACACTCCTTATACCAGGCCAGACCAGGTAAGGATGGCAGTTTCCTTCCCTAAAGGACATTAGTGAACCAGATGAGCTTTTCCTGACAATTGACAAAGGATTCATGGTCATCATTAGACTCTTAGGTCCAGATTTACATTGGATTCAAATTCCAACGTCTACTGTGGCAGGATTCAAATCCAGGTCCCTAGAACATTATCTGGGTCTCTGGATGAACAGTCCAGTGATAATACCACTGGGCCATCGCCATCACCTCCCCCTGCCACAGAATGCAGTTGAGACCAAAACATTGAATGTTTTCAGGAAGGAATTAGAGCAGGCTGAAGGGATCACAGGGTAACGAGGGAGAAAGCGAGAACAAGTGATGGAGTTGGATGGTCATATCGAGCGGCAGAGCAAGGTCGAATGGCCTGCTCCTATAGTCAATGTTTATAGAGTCACATGTTTGGACAGGTGGATTTTTAAACATCAATGGTGCCTTCATGGTCATAATTATTCATTTTGGCTTTTATATCCCAGGTGAAGTAACTGATTGGTTTTAAATTCTGCAGGTGCCTTAGTGGGACTTGAACACTTTCCCCTGAGGGGCTGCCCTTAGGGATCCTGATGCAGTGACATTCCCACGATGCTGCCAGCTCCTTGGAGAGGAGGCCAGCCAGGAAATATAAAAATATACCAGCAACTGGAGCTCTTTGCTGGAGTTTACCTTCATAATTACAGAGAGAATTGAGTAACAGTGGATACTACCGCAAAAGGTCTGTACAGCTATAATAGATTGCGGTCTGAGCTGTTTCTTGTTTTCCGTTAGGTCTGCGTGGTTTGATGCTGTCTGTCATGTTGGCATCTTTGATGAGCTCCCTGACATCCATCTTTAACAGTGCCAGCACACTCTTCACCATGGACATCTGGACCAAGATCAGGCCCAAAGCTTCAGAAAAGGAACTTATGTTAGCGGGAAGGTAAGAACAACCCTGCTGCAAACATTCACCTTAAAATAACTGTACCTTCAACCTCCAGCAGACGACATTGTCTAAAGAAGGGTTGTAGGTACAAAATGTTGTGTTGTCCTGTTCTACAATGCAGCAGAAACCGTAACCTCAGGTGATGCCATCTAATGACCCCATTAACGCTGGCTCAGTGGTTAGCACTGCTGCCTCACAGCACCAGGGACCTGTGTTTGATTCCACCCTTGGGTGACTGTCTGTGTGGATTTACGCATCGTCCGTGTGGGCTTCCTCTGGTTTCCTCCCACAGTCCAAAGATGTGCGGGTTAGGGTGGATTGGCCATGCTAAATTGCCTGTAGTGTCCAAGGATGTACAGGCTAGGTGGGTTAGCCGTGGGAAATGCAGGGTTTTAGGGGTGGGGTGGGTCTGGGTGGGATGCTCTTCTGAGGATTGGTGTGGACTCGATGGGCCAATTGGCCTGTTTCTGCCCTGTAGGGATTCTATGACACTGTCCAGATCATTGACGTCTTTCAATGTGGCATCTGAAAACTGACAGTAACTTAGTGAGATTTATATCTGAATGAATCCTCCATTAAAGGGGGTTGGTGAACAGAGGAGGGACCATGTTTCTGGTAAATGTTGACAGCTACACAAACAGCTGGTAAAAGTAGGCTTGCCCTGAATCCATGGCCATGTGCATCTTAGCTGTACTTCAGCACCTGAGCCCATCACTCTATTTCTGTTTCTGCTCTTTTTTATACATTCCTCTCCCTTCATCCCTTCTAGAACCTTCTCTTGGATCCTCATGTGTCCTTTTACTTCTCCATTTACCCCCACCTCCTGTCAATGCACACTGAAGTCTGTATCATATTTGACTCCAGGATAGGTTGCCAATCCCAGATTTGTGTCATCACTAAGACCATCGTATTCCACCTCAGGAATGTCACCCAACAACCCCTACCTCAGCTCACCAACTGCTAAAACCCTCATTTAGGTCTTTGTTACATCCAGACTCAACTACTTTCAACATGACGTCTCCCCACGTTCCCCGCTGTTAACATACAATCACTTAGAACAACAAATCCTGGACTTAGCTCAAAGCAAGTTCCATTCACCCACCACACCAATGTTCTCTGATCCTAATTGGCTCACGGTTAAGCGATAATAGGATTTTAAAATCCTCATCTGTGTGAAGAAGGTGTTCAGTACACTTGACGTTATTGGTCAGTGAATTGAGTATAGGAGTTGGGAGGTCATGTTGTGCCTGTACAGGGCATTAGTGAGGTCACTTTTGGAATACCGTGCTCAATTCTGGTCTCCCTGATGTTGTTAAACTTGAAATGGTACAAAAAAGATTTACAAGGATGTTGCCGGGATTGGAGGGTTTGAGCTATAGGGAGAGGCTGAATAGGCTGGGGCTTTTATCCATGCAGCCTCGGAGGCTGAGAGGTGGCCTTATAGAGGTTTATAAAATCATGAAGGGCATGGATAGGGTGAATACTCAAGGTGTTTTTCCCAGAGTAGGGGAGTCCAAAATTAGAGGGCATAGGTTTAAGTGTGGGGGGGTGGTGTTGGGGGTAAGATTTAAAAGGGACCTAAGGGGTAACTTTTTCATGCAGAGGGTAGTGTGTGAATGGAATGAGCTGCCAGAGGAAGTGGTGGAGATTGGTACAATTACAACATTTAAAAGGCACCTGGATGGGTACATGGATAGGAAGGGTTTAGAGGGATATGGGTCAAATGCTGGAAAATGGGACTAGATTAATTTAGGGAATCTGGTCAGCATGGATGAGTTGGACTGAAGGGTCTGTTTCCGTGCTGTATGACTCTATGACCCTATCTTTTCCTTCAAATCCCTCCACGGCCCCATCCCCTCCTATCTCTGTCACCTTCTCCAGCTCCACAAATCTCCAAGATCTCTAATTCTGGCCTCTTGAGCATTCTTGATATTCATTCCTCTGGCCTTGAAGACTGTGCCTTCGGCTGCCTTAGCCCCCATCGCTGAAAACCCAGAAAAAGAAAAACGTTACGAGCTGAGATCTTAGTGAAAAGTGAGATTATTCACTCAGCCTTAAAGCTAACTCTGATGGAGGGAGTGAACTCCCAGTGAACCCTCTGCTCAGAAGTGGATATCTAATTTAATAACTCACAGTCTGCAATTCATGTAGCTTAATAACCCTGCTGTGTGTTCCTGACAAGGATCATATTAACTGACCATCCTCCTAACTCCAGTCAATAATATTGATGTATTCCATTGTCCTGTTAAGTTCTGACAGCTATCTGCATTGCTCAGTTGTTTCAGACGTGAGTGTGATGAAGCTGGAGCAGTTATAGGGAAATCGGTTCACATTGCAGGACAGCTTACAATCGTTCTGCTCATTTTGGTGGTGCAACAGAACCAGAAGAGCCTGGCGTTATTTTCATTCCTTACCATCTGTTCCTTCTGCATCCTCAGGGTCTTCACCTTGGTCCTGATTGGGATCAGTATTGCCTGGATTCCGATTGTACAAACAGCACAGAGTGGACAGCTCTTTGACTACATCCAATCAATTACCAGCTACCTGGGTCCCCCTATAGCCTCCGTCTTCCTGCTGGCCATCTTTGTCAAGCGTGTGAACGAGCAAGTAGGTTCCTGCTGACTTTTATTTACATCACATGGTCTCCGCATCTCATAGAGCCACAGAGCACGGAAACAGACCCTTCGGTCCAGCCCATCCACATCGACACTAATCCGAAACTACATGCCTGACCCTGGCCCATATCCCTCCAAACCTCTCCTATTCATGTACTTATCCAAATGTCTTTTAAATGTTGTAACTGTACCTGCACCCACCACTTCTTCTGGAAGTTCATTGCACACATGAACAACCCTCTCCGTAAAAAAGCTGCCCCTCATGTCCTTTTTAAACCTCTCTCCTCTCACCTTAAAAATATGTTGCATAGTCTTGAACTTCCCCACCCTAGGGAAAAGATCTTTGCTATTCACCTTACCTATGTCCCTCATGATCTTTATAAACTTCTGTAAGATCACCCTTCAACCTCCTACACTCGACTGAAAAACATTCCAGTCTTTCCAGTCTACTTTTATATCTCAAACCCTCCATTCACAGTAACATCCCTATCAATGTTTTTTGAACCCTCTCCAGTTTAAGAATATCCTTCCTGTAGCAGGGAGACCAGAACTGGACACAGTATTCCAGAACAGGTCTCACCAATGCCCTGGGCAATCTCAACATAACATTCTGCCTAATTCTCTTTGGTCTTCCTCAACCCCTTCCCCATCCACCTGATTTCAGCAACGTTTTTTTTACTGCTCCAGTTCAGATTTGCACTCTGGCACCCGATCACTGCAGAAACATCTCTTCTGGAAGTGAAGCATAGAGCTACACTGTTAGGTTAATCCAGCTCTGCATTGTCTGTGACCAGTCCCATCCTATTCTGTGCTCACTGATTCACACTGGCTCACACTCCTTGCAGGCTGACCTCTCAAGCAACCTTTAAGTACCAAGACCACAAGCCCTGGAATTTAATCCATACACCTGCCTTCTTCTCTACCTCACTTTCCTCTTTAAAAACATTCCTTATATCCTACCACTTCGGGTTCAGAAGAGATTTACTGGGATGTTGCTGGGACTGGAGGGTTTGAGTTATAAAGAGGGGCTGGATAGGCTGGGACTTTTTTCACTGGAGCCTAGGAGGTTGAGGAGTGGCCTTATGGAGGTGTATAAAATCATGAGGGGCATAGATAAGGTGAATGGCGGGTGTCTTTGCCCTCAGGCAAGGCATTTCAAGATCACAGGGTATATTTTTAAGGTGAGAGGAGAAAAATTTAAAAAGGACATGGGGAGAAATTTTTATTTATGGAATAAATTTCCAGAGGAAGTGATGTTTGCAGCTGCAGTTACAATGTTTCAAAGACATTTGGATAATTACATGAATAGGAAATGTTTGGAGGGATACTGTCTAAGTGCAGGCAGGTGGGACTAGTTTAGTTTGGGATTATGTTCAACATGGACTGGTTGGACCGAAGGGTCTGTTTCTGTGCTGTATGGTTTTATTACCAAGTTTTTGGTCACCTGACTTAATATCTTATTATGTGACTTGCTGTCAAGTTTTATTTGATGATGTTCCTGCAAAGCATAGGAACAAAAGTATGCTATTCAGACCCTTTGGTCCACTTGTCCATGCTAACCAGATATCCTAAATTAATCTAGTCCCATTTGCCAGCATTTGGTCCATATCCCTCTAAACCCTTCCTATCCATGTACCCATCCAGATGCCTTTTAAATGTTGTAATTGTACCAGCCTCCACCACTTCCTCTGGCAGCTCATTCCATAAAATCTGTTAGCTGAAAGCAATTTTCCTCCATTATCCTTACATCCTTCATGTCATTGGATTTTGGTTTTGGTATTAGTACTTGGACATCTGTCCGTCACTATTATAAACATATTCCATGATTGAACTTCCACAGCTCTTTGGGGCAGAGAATTGAAAGATTTACAACTGTCTGAGTATAAAGAAAACATCCTGCTCATCCCAGTCCCAAGTGATTTCACTGTTGTTTTGAAATGGAGAGCTACCCTGGTTCTAAACTCCCCAGTCAGAGGAAACATCTTAGCCACATCTATCCCATCTGTCCCTTTCAATACTTTAGCATTGTATTGTTCAAGGAGCTATCTAAATATGTTGTAAAGACTAGATCATGTTTTTTTTTTCCATTAAGTCCGATCACAAGCAGCTAACCTGCACATCCAGAGTCAATGTTTTAGTGAGAATTGGGCAATCTATTGAGAGGTAGAAATAACACAGCCCTAGAGATTAGGTTTGTCCATGGACTGGGAAGTCCTAATTCTACAGTGTGCCTTCATTTTCCTCACGTCATCGCCACCAGAAAAGTTGGCCCGACTGACAGGTGGGGAACATCTGGGAGAACAACTAGAGCACATCAGGAAGCCGTTACTAAGATGGGGTGGGGTGGGGTGAGCGGGGCTGCTTTCCATTCCTCCATCCCGTCACCATCTTTTGACTGGGGCGTGGGGGCCCAATATTGCTAAAACAAAAGAACTTGGTGCCTTGACGGGGGAGGGGCACTCCTGTTCCCTTAGCCCGCAAGCAGCACTATAAAGACATTCACCTTCTCCACAAAGCTCTACCCACGTCCCTCCATCTTCCAGCCTTCCTGCCATCTGTCAAGTAGACATAGCACTATCTACCCTGTGGTAGAGGGAGAAATGATTCAATTGAAACAGATAGAATTCTGAGAGGGTGTGACAGGGTAAATGTGAGGAGTATGTTCCATCATGACTGGAGTGCCTACAACTACAAGGCATTGGCTTAGAATAAGAGGCCAACTATTTCGGACTGAGGGTGGAAATGCGTTCCAACATTCAGAGGATTGTAACAAGAACAGAAGTTGCTGGAAAAGCTCAGCAGGTCTGGCAGCATCTGTGAAGGAGAAAACAGAGTTAACGTTTCGGGTCCGGTGACCCTTCCTCAGAACTCTTCAGTTATTGGGTGTTTTCAGGACAGAGACTGATTGGTTTTTGATCTGTAATGGAAACAGGGGATCAGGCAGAGAATAGAATTGAGGCCAAACATTACCCTTGATTTTATTGAAGTGTGAACTCCAGCGCATATTCCTGATATGATTACAGACCTGCATATTGTGTGAAATAGGCAGCTGATTGGTTGCTCTCCCTATTATGTATTAAAGTGATCTTCTCATTCTAGGGAGCATTTTGGGGTTTGATGTTTGGCCTCGCCACTGGCTTGTCCCGAATGATCGCGGAGTTTGCGTATGGAACAGGCAGCTGTGTGACTCCGAGCGAGTGCCCCAGGATTATTTGTGGCATCCACTACTTGTACTTCGCTATCATCCTCTTTGTAGCCACCATCTTGATGGTGCTGATCGTGTCCTTCCTGACCAAGCCAATCGATGATGTACATGTGAGTGTGGGCTTCATTACACCATTATCCCTGCCCCTGTCGCCAGGCACCTGAGCATGGCATGGTTTGGGTAATCCATGTGTTTGGGATGATCCAAATTTCTGGGAGAATTTGTGTTAATCAATATTATCTTTAGGATTATCACCGTTTTTCAGATAATTCAGCACTACCAGTGTGTTTGGAATGGTTTGGGATAATCAGTTGGGATAATTCATGTTTTTTGGAATGATTTGGAGTGGTTGGGGTGATCTATGCATTTGGAATAGTTGGGATGAGACATGAATTTGGAATGGTTCGGATGAGGCACATATTTGGAATGGTTGGAGTGATCTGTGTCTTTGGAATATTCCAGATGAGGCATGTGTTTGGAATGATTCAGATGATCTTTGTGTTTGGAATATTTGGAATGAGGCGTATGTTTGGAATGATTCAGATGATCTGTGTGTTTGGAATATTTGGGATGAGGCATGTATTGGGAATGGTCGGGGTGACCGTTTCTTTGGAATATTTGGAATGAGGCAGGTGTTGGGA